ATAGTTATTGTGTGCGATTAGAATCTCATTCATATCCGCACACACACACACACACACATATGTGCGTATATCACCCTGTGCAACATCATCATAAGGTATTCAGCACGGACCTGGATCAATCTCGCTGTTCCTCACCACGAAGGGACGGTAACTAGCTAACTGCTTCCACACACGCCACTTCTACTCGGTTGCTCGCGACGAAGCGGTTGATCTAAAATGCCGGGGCAAAACGAGAGACACGATGTAGCGGCGACGTTCCTCGCGCTGAAACGTGAGTGTCGCGACAGCGTTCTCGGCTCCGTACATTTTAGCGCCGCTACACATCCTGCCAACACGCCGGCGACATGCACGTACGTGATGATGTTACGTGGGGTGCGCGCGCGCGCGTCTCCACCCTCGCTCGCTCCCTTTCGTTCCTCTCCCCTTTGTGCTCGTGCATGCAAAAGGGGACTGATATCGTCGTTGATCTCGTTCCCGGCGAGTCAAGGATGCGCACGTGTAATTATTTGGACACTTTGTCGCCGCGCGTCGCAACTATGTTATGCCCGGCAATCGAGCTCGCCGCTACGGAATCTCGACGTGTAACACGGTCGCTTTTCCTCGTGTGCGTGCGTGCGTGTGTATGTGTGTGTGTGTGAGAGAGACAGAGAAAGCGCACGAGTACGGCACCGCTCCCGCGTGCTTCCCTCTCGCTTAGCTATTCGCCCGCAACGTGGGTAACGCGGAGGCATATTGTGTGAAGGTATTTCAGAATTATCGCCACTTCTCTCAACTACGGATACCGCGGAGGTTTCCCCGGGAAAAATGGTGGACGTGTTACGTGCCCGAGAGGTGTCAACAGCCTTTATCTTATGAGCCAGCGCGAATATTGAAAGCTCCGGGGGCAAGCGGGGATAAATAGAAGATGTGTCAATTTAATTTTCACTCGTTTTTATGCGCGATGCTACCCGTAGATATATACAAAGCTGGAAATTAGAAAATTAAAACTGAAAATCGCGGAACGGCGAGCTAATAATATCGTGATTTTATCAAACAGAAAAATTGAGAGCGTTTAAATCGGTCGAGAAATACGCGGATAAAATACCCACGGTATTTCACCGGAACGGTATAAAATAAAGCGGCAAAAGTTCAGTTCTATTATCGAGCGGACGATTAAAATTGCTTTTGTCTCGATGGGAAATTCGGTCGTTCGAAACAGAAAGAGAGAAAGAGAGAGAGAGAGAGGGGGGGGGG